TTTCCCAGTGCAGTCTTGAATAGGGTTCAGACCCTACTTGAGTTAGTCCAAGTTAAATGTAATCAGAAATGGATATTTACGTCTTTCATTCCACATTCACCTCTGATGGAATCTTGTTCTTCAACTGAACAAAAACAAACTCTAACTGAAATCACAGAATCACAGAATTGTAGGGACTGGAAGGGACCTTTAGAGATCATCGAGTCCTACAGCAGGCAAATCAGTTCATAGAATGCTATGTGCACTGTTGGGGGCACATCTGTGGAGTGAACCTTATTTTTTCTTCCTAAGCTGTTAACATGTTTTGATCTCCTACTGCATGATTAAGGCCAAAATAAATGAAGACCAACCTATGACTTTTAGTGAAACAATGTTTATTCCATGCCAGTGTGTATGCCTTCCAAATATTCCCAACTTTAGATGTTATGCTGAAATGAAACAATGATGTTAGCAACATCACAATACGTAGGGGAAGCCTGAGCCCCAATGTATGCATTAGGTAAAGATCAAGCAGGATGCCAGATGATTTTTGATTCATTTTAGAAATATTGCTAGGCAGAGCTCCAAGCTCTCACCAAGTGATGCCAAGACATTTGCTCATGCCTCCGTCATCCCTTATCTAAAGTGCTGTAACTGCCAGAAATAATTTGAAAAACTTCACACATTGCACATTTTGCACATTGCTCTTTTCTACATAAATATTGTTACTTTGTGATTCCCACTTAAAAATAGAATTCAAATCTTGTATTTGAGATCAGCAGAGGATCTGTCTTTAAGACAGCACTTACATTTTTCTAGGAAAACTATTCTTATTATTTTATAATCAGCTCAGCTTAGCACAGAGGTCTTACATAAGAAGTAGGCAATTATCAACTGAGAAAGTCCAGCATTTTTTTCTTTCTTAGAATTCAGATTTGTTATTATTCTCTAAATTCAGTGCTTTATCAGGGAGTATACTTTTGAATTGTTAAGAGACTTGTTACACTACACAGATACAAAAAGAATTTTAGCTGAGGATAAGCTCTAAAAGATGAATGAATGTATTAGCTTAGCATGAATCTGAGCTTACCTTGTCTTGCAAAAATTGATACAGAACCCACTGGAATTTGTTGTTGTCTCAATGCTGAAGAAGACAGGGCTCAAAATGATTCTAGTTATTCCTGGTTTGAAAGGTAAATTGCTATGACTTTCTAGATGTTTTATTTTAAATATGCATATACATTATCTGATTATATTTTAATATATTTTTTATTCACTCTGTCTAGCATTGATTTATAAGGAATCCATACAACTTCAGGAGTATATTCAGGCGTCCAATTATGTAATTAATACTATAGGTCCATGATTTTTTGCTTTTTGACAAGTTAGATTATAAGTGATGATTCCATTAGTATCTTTTATGTCTTCTATCTGTAATTTATTGTTTTGGAATGACAAAGGCTCTTAAAGCAATGTAACTTACTTTGTATAGAAGAGCCAGAGAAAGGTGTGTTGTAATGCAAAGTCCATTTGTTTCTTCTTCCTTACTTCTTCATTTAGCTCTTATTTACACACTCAAGGTCAGGCTGGATCAGGCTTAGAGCAACCTGATATAGAGGTAGGTGTTCCTGCTCATTGCAGGGGAGTTAAACTAAATGGTCTTTAACAGTTGCTTCTAAATCAATTGATTCTATTATTCTGAAGGAACCGTCCTGTATGGCTTTTCATAGATATGGAAGGCACTCTGTACTTGAGCAAAGGCTGAAACAAGAAAAGCAAAGAGGAGTGATACTAAGAGGAAAGAAGAGAAGAATTCAGGAGGATCTATAAAAAGTTTAAATTGGTAAAACATGTATGTGGGTGGGTAAAAAAGGGAATAAAGCACAACTAAGTCATAGAAGCCTCAGCAGGACTCTGAACATTGTTCTGAACATTGTCCAGAATGCACTGCAGTTTGCTTTAAAGAAACATCAAGAATACCCACATCCTTAGAAAGGGGACTTTTTTGTTGTTTAGCATTTATTTTAACAAATGCATGAAGACAGCCCTTTTCCAGACCTTGTGTCATTCTGCTGTGGTGTGGGGAGTTTGTTGTAGGAATTTATGAAGGCAAAAAAAACTCTTCTGCAGAAGAGTTGAACTGTGCATCTTAGGCAGAGCTGAAAGCCAGGGGATGCGTTGCTACCCTTCACTAGAATGGGGTACTGGAGTACTTTTCCAGCCAGGGCAGGCAGCCAGCTCCCTGCCTCTCTGTCGTGATGGGCACAGCCTTCTGAGATGTTCAGGTGGGGTCCTTGTGTGCACACTGATACCCAGAGGAGCATGAATGAGTGAGAGGGGATAGCTTTGCTTCTTTCCCTTCGAAGTGGGATGGAGCAGAAGGAAGAGTGCCAGTCACAGAAATGTATATTCTCAGCTATTGGAGCAGCATTTCTAATTGCCATATAATGCAGACAGCTTAGGTTTGTGAGTGACCCAGACACTACTTTCTTCTTTCCTTTCCTGCCCCTGCTTGCCCTCCTATGTCCCTGCTGCTTCCTGCAGGTAACCCTGAGTCACCACTGCTGAAAGCCACCTAGGCTGCTCCTTTAAAAAACCCTGAGGCTGACAGAAAAAAAACACAAATGTGAGCTTCATGCAGCTCTGTAAATGTGACATGTTCTGTTGATTGAATTTATTTCTGCAGTCACCTCTGCAGATCCCATCTCCTGAGAGCACCCAGTCAAACTCAGGGAGCAAACCTGGAGCCAGATGGGGTTTTGGTCCTGACTTAGACAGACAGACTTCTGATAAACTCTTCTCGTGGTCCCAAGAACTCAGAGCTGTTAGGACCCAGTCCTGCCCCTTGTCAGGGAAGATTTCTTCCCCGAAGTGTCCTTATATATTCTGAATGTTCAGCTGACACTGCTGGAACAAGAGACTCCTTCTCTGGCAGATTAGTGGCTGGGAAAGACATGAACAGCAATGGTAATGGTGAAATTATGAAGACTAATGAGGAATTGAGCTGTTATCTATCTCATAAATACATATTCTAACGTACAGAAAAACCACAGTGTTGACTGGAAATACTGTAATCCTCAGGGAAATAAAAGAAAAAGAAATTAGCCAGAAGTGTCACATATTTACATCTGGTTCACCTAAAGCAAATCTGACCATTTTTGAAATGGCTGCCAGCCAACATTTTAGTAATATTTGCATTGGGTTTCTGCTCATACAAAGTGATTTATGTCCAAGTACCCTCTGGTTCTCACATTACAATAATTATATTGATTGTTTGTTTACCATTTTATATGAACATTTCTGCCTGCCACATATCCTCATCTTGTTGATCAAGAAAATAACAGTTTTCAGTGAAATTATTCTGATGTGTGAGAAGGGAAGTCAGAATTAGGTCAGGATTCATAGACCCAGTGGCGTTTTTTTCCATAGGGACAGTTAATATAGTTTCCCAGGAGAGAGGTGAGCCCAGTTCTGCATGTTCCCTAGAATGTGTGAGGCAATCACTCTGCAAAGGAAGCACAGTAGGGCCCAGCTGTGGTGAAAGAGGTCATCTGCATGGGACAGTGCATAAAGAACATGCTCCAAGAGTTCAGACTTTGCTACGTGATGTTGTGGAGGTTCAATTCATATACTTAAGCTGAAAAACCTGTCTGCACAACAGGCTGCTTGCTTTGCACATTTAAGACCCACTATGCTAATTAATTGTACTTCCTTCAGGTGATTTGGCATGGATTACAGAGGAAAGGGAAAACATTCAAAAGGCTAGTGGTGGAAAAGAGAGTAGATGGTCAAACAAACAAAAAAAAAACCAACCTACAATCAAAATTCAAGAATATGCAGTTTATATCAATATAAATATGATAAGCTGTCTTTTTCAGTGAAGTAACATTGTTTTTTTGTATAAATAGTAAACTCCAACTGATATTTCAGTGTTTTTCCCACATGAGAAGCTGAAAATGTCTATCATCATTATGATAAAACAAGGTAATAATATATGTGGATTGCCTGTTGCTTTACTTTCCTCCTTGTAGATACATAAGACAGGTAAGAGAAAACAAGAAGAAAAATCACGGTGGAAAAAAAAAAAAAAAAACAACTTACAGTATGCAAAGATTTGTGTTTTTGTTGTTAGTCTTTGTGTTTGTTTTTTGTTTTCCAGAAAGTACCTTTGCTTTAAGTGTAGGTATTATCCTTTTCAAAATATATCAGATAAATCAGAACTAAAAAATGATATTATTTTCTTATTTAGCTGGGACTTACAGATTCACGGACATTGAGCCAACAGTGTGTTACGATCACTGTCTCATGTGACTCATACAAAACAGTCACCTCACCTGGAGCTTGGCTGTTCGGAGCGCTACTAATCATAAGCTCTGCCTCACTCCTTCTCTGCAGAAGGTGAAAACGCCTGGTGTCAGCCCTTCAGGCTGTCTCTAGACAGCACTGTGGGCATCAGTGCTGGCTGTTGCACAGCATGGTTTGTAGCAGGGCACATGGCTTGGCCACAACTGCCAACTCAGTGGTGATACTTGATCACTTGGAATTACATGGGGAAACCTTCATGGTGTAACTGCAGCATTTGTCACAAGTGCTCATACACTGAGACAGGGAATCTGAGTCTTTGTTTTGCAAGAACCCACTGTCAGGCAATTCTTTGTGTTGTAGTTCTTTATAGAAGAGATTCTTTTCATGCTTTGCTGTGCCTCACACTACATTTCACACTGCATGGTTGCATGGATTTGCTACCAGTAGCTACGATTACACAAACATATAACAAAAAGTGTTAAGGATGCTCCAGAAAGACTGTGAAAATCATGACAGGAGTTTGTGATACGTACTTTACTCTCTGGATGATGGTACTTTGGTGAAACTTCATTTGGCACTCCCAAAATTTCAACAGGAAGAATAAGTGATTCTCAAAGGATCCCTCAGGAGCCAGCTTATTTGTTTTAGAGGGCTGTTGACTGAGCTCTTGTATTGTTGAGTCTGATGAAGTTTATCTTTTGTTCTCTTCAATTTAGCATCCCCTGCTTTCTTGAAGACAATGTACCATATCACCGTGGGGAAAAAAGAAAAGCAGATTTCTCTGGACAGCAATCATCCTTCAGCTTCTGTAAGTATTTTTTCTTTTCAAAAATTACTACATACTTGGAAAAAACAGTATGCTACTGCAAGCAGATATTCTCACTGATAAAGTAAGACCCCTGAAAAACAGGGATCTAGTCCAATTTGTGACATAGATTAGAGCTAAGGAGCTAGCACCATCAAGGAGCAAACCAGCTAGCAGCAGTCAAACACTGTAGCCTGTGTACCAGCATTAATTTTAATGACACAGCCTATTAACTTTTTGAAGGCACAGAGAATATTAGAAGTAGAAAGCACAGAAACTTTAGATACAGGGAAATGGCTTTCACAATTTTATAAGCTACCAAAAAAAAAAGCCTATTCCAAGCAGAGTTGTTTTGCATTATTCCATTCCTGTTGGCTCTTAGGGGGGTTTCATTAGATGTAGGAACTTCTTGCCATAGTAATATAGGTCAGGCATTATTGTGGCTCTTTATGATACTGACTAGCACAAGTCATGTATACAAACCTAGGAAGTATTTATTTATGTGGAATACCTACCAAAGTGGGCTACAAATCATTTAAAGATGCCTATGATATGAATCATACCACAATTTCACGGATAAGTGGAAACATTATGCAACTTATTGAGTTTTTAAAACACTAACGAATGTGAACTACCCAGCAGACTTGAGCTGGACCTTTTCACCCCTCCTAATATATGCCGTGGCTATTTAATATTCCTCACTAGGGAGTAATGCTGGCATACAAGTCAGCAATATATTAGACTCTGGAGCCATGAACCTAGTGAGAACACAAACTAAACTGATTTTCAATTTTGGTACATTACAAAAAGGGCTATTATTGTGGGGTTAGAGATGTCAAAGTTGGTGACCTGGTATAATGAAGTATTCCCTGCTACATAGTCAAGCATGAAAAGTAATTGGAGGCGGTGTAAACTTTTAGAAGCTTAGAGTCTTCTCCCCTCTCCCCCTAATTGAATATTCTTTTGCAAACATTTTTTTATATTTAAGTAACTATTTTTATGAAGCATTATAAAAGCCAGAGTGATGTTCCTGTATTATTTGCAGTTGATATAGAAACGTGTTTTTGAAAAGGAGGTCAGATCTTAACGCTTGGGTTACTTACATAATGCACCGATGAAAAGCAAGTTGCTACCTGCCAGCTAGGAATGACATTAAAATATTATGGCAGCATGTGACCAGCTTTAGAGCTTAAAATCTTGAAAGGACACAGACAATGTCCCCTTTGAAGAAAATTCCTGAAGATCACTTTACAATTTTTGCTAAGCTTTGAAACAGACTAAAATACCCCATGTCCAAGCAGCAAAGATGAAAGTTGTTATTTCTCAGCTGCAACTTTTACATCTGATAAACAACCTCTTAAGTTTGCACAGGTCTTTCAACGTGTCTGTAAGAAGAAAGAGGTTAGTATTTATCCTCTGGAATTGTGTATGAGTACTGTAAATCCCATACTATAGGTTTTCAAAAGTTCTCCACATCCTAACTTACTGCGCTCGCTATGTTATTCCTGATTTCCCCTGGTACAATACAGTGTGAGCTGGCACAACATTGCTCCTGATTTATTAGACTGCAGAGGGCACTCCTATATAAGAAGGAATTGCAACCTCTAGGCTCATTTACTTTTAGTCCCAATCATTCATTGTTATTTTTTCTTCCTTAATAATTAATGACACTATTATTACACTAAAAGGAAAATATTATTATTCTTGACAGTTGGCTTTGTTGTGATTATTTAATTTTTCCCCCCAAGTTCATACAACTACAATGTCTGTCAATGGTCTTATCATAATTCAGGTCAATAGCCTCAGAAATTAAACATATACAGAAGGACTATCTCTAATATAGCATCCCTAGGCATAACTTGAACAAGGAGTGGAAGGAGACATCCTTTGTCACATGCCTGGAAAGTCAGGGAAATTCTCTCTGAGGCAGGTCATCCTTGGAGCAGTATGAAAACCACTTTCCTCTTTCTCTTGTTGCATCTCCTGAAAATGTTTGTTGGAAGCATTACCTTGGTGTGGATTTTAGCTGGGATAGATTACTGCAAGGAACAAAGTAGCCTCTCAAACAATAGATCCTGAATTTTGGGTGAATCTTTGAACCTTGCACTGTTCCTCAGGGACTTGATGAAAATACAGAGAGCTGTATTTTGCCCAACATAGCAGAAGCATGGGGCAAAATACCAAAAGCAGTGCTATGGACTGGGGACTTTCTGAATAGCAGACAGATGGGATACAGCTTCTGTAACGTAGACACCTCTAGAGCTGTTCTGTTAAGCCATTAAAACCTTGAAATGCCTTAAGATTAGGAAAAAGCAAGTGTAGTTTAAGGTGACTGTGGTCCCACCCCACCTTTCTGCTTTATGAGTGAGAGTTAAAGTCTGTAAGTCCAGCATCTCAACCACATGGCTGAATGGCTTAAACATTCCAACAGAACTAATGCTGGAAGTTCAGCTGATGGATGTACAGGTTCTGCACTGCAGTTTAAATGTTTTCTTCCAATATTTACCTTTTTTCACTGAGAACAAGTCCATGCTAGCTTTGGCTTCTGCATTGGATACAGCTCATGTATCAACCACAGACAGCAAATGGGACATTCTGTTTTCTGTGGGCAGTGGAAAGTGATCTGCCTTTTCACATTTACTTCTGGAAGCTTGTCATAAGGAAAGTGTAAGATCAAGCCACCTGCTGTGCCAAAGCAGAAGAACAAAGGGACCTGGCTGTTGGAGTAACAAACGTGCTTCCACATCTCAGCTCTGATTCATGCTTAGTTTCAAATGGAGAACCTCACATTTCAAGTGAGATATTTGCTCAGTAAAATATGTGCATTTCGTGTTTCATTACCACATGCTATATATCTCATGCAGTAGTTAAGAAGTGAAGGAGTGAGGAAAAGGTTGTAATTTGGGGGAGCTGTAACCATTAAGATTCTATTGAATGGGATTTTGCCTTGTTCTCTACTGTTATCTCACTAGATAAAAACATTGTGCTTTATGATTGAGCTAATTGTGCTGGACAAGCCTGTCTGCAGTCCTAGAAGCCTGGATTTTCAAATGCGCTGAGCACAGACAGTTGCAACTAAAGACAGTGGGGGCATGTAAATGTGCAATTAAACATGAAGTTTTCTAAAAATTCAGACCAGAGGCTGGTTGTAAGGTTGGAGCAGAGATGCTACCTGGCCTCATGGGTGCTATGAAAACTGTGGTGGACTGAGAAGTTACACTGAAAAGACTATGTAGAGATGAAGTCTTTCTTCAGAGTGGGGTTTGAATATTAAAAAAAAATGCCTTGAACCAAAGAGAAGAATAAAAAGAAAACAAGCAGGTATAGCTTGTGGACTGGATGTAGCATCTCATTCCCCCTCACTCCTCCCCCCCAATATGTGTACTTAATATGTATACCACATGGTCTGAATTAGTGTTGTGCAAGCGTATCTAATTCTAGCATTCCCCACTCTTATTTTTTAATATATGTAATATGCATAAAGAATGTGTATTTGAGTAAGAAATCTTTATAGAATCATTGAATAATTCAAGCTGGAAGAAGTATTGGTAGGTCATATAGTCAAGCCTCTGCTAAAAGCAGGGTCAGTGCTGAAGTCAGCACAAGTTTTTCAGGGCTTTGTCCAGTTGGGTCTTGATAATCAAGGTAACATTCATGACGCCTTGAGGCAGTTGGTTCCATTGTTTATCTTTGGGAAAGATCTGGCATTTTGAAGGCAGATATCTTTGTATAGGGTATTTAGCTAAGCTTGTGCTGAGGATATATCTAAATGTTGTTAAAATACAGGATTGGGAAAACAGGAGAAAAGCTGCTTTTAGTCCTACTATACATATGCTACAAATAAATTTGAGTTCTTAAATGTCAGTATTACAAACCTGGGTTTCTGAGAGTTAAAGATAACTGGAATTTCATTTATATATTTTATATGCTTTGTCTTGTCATGTCAGTAATATTTTGGAATTGATTGCACTGTTTAAGTCTGGTAAAATTAAGTAGGACATTATACTGTAAGTATAAGACAGTCTTCAATGTGTAGAAGTTAGAAACTGCAGTCATCGATTTTCTGAATCGATTCTGCCTTTAGCAGAAGAACACAACCCAAGTACCAAGTACCTTGGTTTGGATCTGTCTGCTAAATTTCCCAAGTCACACAAGGTTTTAATTGACAGCTGAAGAAAACTATCAGCATCAAATGAACCTTGGAACAAATGTCATAATAATGGATGAGGACACTCAACATTTAAATAATCTTGACTTTAGCAAGGTTTTCAGCACTGTCTTCTATAACCTACTCATAGGCAAACTGATAAAATACAGGCTAGATAATGGCCAGTGGTGGGTGGACTCAAAACTGGCTGAATTGCTCGACTTAAGGAACCAGGTACAAAACCTGGTTCGAGGCCAATCACTAGTGGTATAACCAAGGGGTCAGTAGTAGGAACACTTTATTAATTACCTGGATGATAGGACAGGCTGTACCCACAGCAAGTTCTCTGAGTGGAGTGGTTGGTAGACCACATGGCTGTGATGCCCCTCAGGAGGCACCTCAGGAGGCTGGAGAAATGGGCTAGTAAGAACTTTATGAAGTTCAACAGAAAAGTGCCAAATCCTGCATCCTGGGAGGAATAGTGGCTGGTACCACTGCATGCTGGAGTGTAGGTGGCTGGAAGGCAGCATGGCAAAAAAAGCTCTGGGGGTTCTGATGGGCACCAGCTTGACCAAAGCCACCAATGTACCCTTGCAACAAAAGGCCAACAGTGTCCCAGGCTGCATTAGGAAGAGCATTGCCAGAAGGTTGATGGAAGGGATCCTTCCTGCCTACTCAACACAGATGGGACAACCTGGAGAGCTGGATTTAGTTCTGGTTTTCCCAGGGCAGCAAAGACATAGACATACTGGGGTATACCAAGGGCTATGAAGATGACTAAGGGACTGGAGCATCTGGCATGTGAAGAGAGGCTGGGAGCGGGGACTGTTGAGAAAACTCAGGAGGAATCTCTTTA